AAAAAAAAAAAAAAAGAATAAGTACGAAGAGAAATAGACTTATTACATGAATATATTTAAGATTTCTAGTTCACAGGTCAGGAGTTAGCCCGATGAATGGTTGCTCTATGCAAGTATTTCTTTCTTCAGTTTTGCTTCGGTCTTTTTACAGAACTGTTTTGGCTAGACAATAATTTTTAAAAAGCACTTATAATGCAGCTATTTTATTATTGTCTACAATTATTATTGTTATTATTACTTTTATTATTATTTTTATTAATAAATGTACTTATATATTTTTGTTTATTTATATCATTGAAAGTTAAGCAAACAATCTTTTATTTCTGCATAAATGGATTTAATTTTTGTTTGTGAAACTTGCAGTTGTAGATTTCTTTAAACAAATGTGCTACTCTGGTCAAAAATTTTATCTTCTTTTCATTAAAGGTACTTTTTGCGCTTGCTGGCTTCGAACTGTTCAGTATTGTGACGCTTTTCTTCTTGTATGCCTGTAATGGAGCATGGAGGAATAGTGAAAGTAGATGGATAGCTGGACTGTCACAGAAGTATCAGGTCAGTGAACTTTCTGTTTAATTGTACCAAAAATCCCCTATTTTGTGCTGTTTGTACAAATTGCCTTCCACATAAATTTCTCAGTACCTATCATCACCTGGTGGACCTCATCGAGTAGCACTATTTGCTTTTTTGATCATCCATTCGGCACTTCTGTTGCTGAAAGCTTTTCAATTTTAACAAAGGCTATTCGTTAAAGAAGTCAACAATAGCATAACATATATTTTGTTTAAAAAATACAATTCAGCTCTGCGAATAATCAGATTTACTGAAAATTGTTACTTTTAAAGAAAGAAGGAGATATAATTAGAGTATAGCGGTTCAACAATTCAAAACAGTGGTGTTGCTCAATTCATTTTACATTTCTAAAAGAGACATAAAATAATAATAAAATCAATAAATTTCTGTCTCGTCAAAAAAAAGGTGACGTAATAATTGTTATTTCAGCAGGAAAAAAATTGTAATTTAGTTGAAATATGCTCAAAAAAGTTATGGTCTGTAAGTGCAGTATTATCAACTAATTCAGCAGACATAAAGTTTTATGGCAAAACGTGAAAAGTTTTCTGAGTTAAAGCTGTAAAATACAAGTAATGTAAAAACATTAAAAGTAATTTTAAAGCTTGTAAAAAAATAACATCCAATGACATATACTTTAATTGTTTTCTTTCGTGTATTGAGCTTCGTCACACTGAATTCACCTTCTGCTAGCGGAACAATTTCTCTTTCAACTGAAGGTTTGAACTGCAAATAAAACACTGAAAGCGAGGAGTTCTAAACTGATAACAACCAATTTTTTAGCAGAATATCATCGCCTACAAAAGTTAGACATCCAGTGTGATTTTCAGGTGGAAGAGAATGTAGAACTTATTGCATTTATTGTTCCGGTATTAGTGGCTCATGCAGTATGCAACATGAGCACATGCCTTCTGCTACCAATTGGTTTGCTATTTTTTGAAACTAAAATTCCTCCAACCATCTATTTTGACTTTATTCCCTTCTACTATGTATTACTGCCAATGCTACTCTATTTCAAGAGCGAACGAAATAGGTAAGATGACTGTATCTGATTTTCTCCTTGCCATTCTCTTATTGAACAACAAACAACCAAACAAGCAAATGATTTCAATTAGTTTTCACTTTTTTCCTTTCTCCACTTTTCTTTCATTTATTATCTATCTGAGTAGTCAGTTGTTTGGCAGCCAATTTTAGCCGTCGTGAAAAGAGATGGGTTAAGATTCAGAGCTGTGAAAACGATCCGAGTGCGATACACCATCAGCAGCTTCAGATGATGTTCAATTCGACAAAGAAGCATTCATTGACTAAAATTAAAGTCCCTAAACGAGCAGTACTTGAAAAAGTACAGAGTGACCGTATGCCGCAAAAAGATAATTGCATAACCTACGCTTAATAAATGTTACAGCAATATAAACTTTTTATAACGTATTTCATAATTATTGTAATATTATTCCACTATAAAGCTAGGAATTACATGCTACATATCAAGGTTAATTGATCTCAGTACCTCTAACGGGTTTTCTTAAGGTAGATAAGTTTTTAATTCAGAGGTGGTAAGTAACTGTGGTCCTCTACGTAATAATAAAAATTATGAACAAAAAAAAGCCTGATATTTTGCTGCTCAACAAGTTCTCAAAAAAAAAAAAGAAAAAGACAAGCGGAAAGATGACTTAAAGCACCAATTTTCCATAAAATACAATGTACAGTTACTAGAATCTCAGTAGTTAAAGCTATATGTTTTTGCTTAAAATATCCCGTTGAAAAAATTCTATAGTAGAGATATGTATATACGTTACATACAATGTATGTTACACTAATTTGCTTCATTGTTTCTTTATCGTGTAAATAACTCCCCATTGTTTTGCTTTTGTTAACCTTTGTGTTACTACTTCTAAGTATACAATTAATAAACACCTATAAGTCAAAATTAGAAAAATACAGTATGTTAAGTGTTTAAAACACTTTGAAAATATAATAGACATGACCACTGAACGTTCTTTCCTTTCTGATTAACCATACGTTTTTGCAGTTAGCAGACAATTTAAGCAGTTTATTTATACACAAAACGTAGTTTCTAGCATTTGCACGGCCTTTACTGATAGATTCATCTCAAATGCTACTACTTTTCTTCATCCAGAAGAAAATTAATCAGCAATAAGGTAAACAAAGCAAGGTTTGAGGCTAAAATTGCCACCAGGTTAGACACTCCATTTCCGCAGCAGCTATAAAAGCAACACCTTTTTAAGAGAAAATTGCTTATATTCAAGCTTTAATTATCCATATACACCACAAAACTTTAAAGTTGCGAACTGTACAGGTATAACTGTACTGTAGAAACCCGATGCTTACTGCATCAGTGTTTATCATTATCAGTCTTCGCTTATCCTCGCACAAGCATTAGAGGGTTGTGGTAAAAAGAAGATAGTGCGATGCTGCAACCGATCAATGTTTCACTTCATGCG